TCCTGACGTTGCCATCTGGGTTCCCTCGCTGCTACAACCAACAGCGGCATAGCGATTCCACGGTGGGCAGCGTTCGCCGACCCTCAGCCAACATACGACTTTCTGGACCAGTAGCTTGTTCCTCTCGAATTTTAGCCATGTTTCTTATGTTTTCTTCATTTACTGCACTTGTCTTCTGTTTTGTTCTGTTCGCCTATATATGCTTAGATACCGCAAATAATGTGCTATGCTATACGTCTTTCACTGTCTGCTTTTTTTTTGTTCCCCGAGTTATTGAAGTGCTGTCCTCATGAAGGATACGGATCCACTACTTCAGCTCGTCGTTTGATGTAACTCCTGTAGTCGCTGCCGCTCGTGCTGCAGCGGACGCTTTCCTTCCAGATTCGCGTCAGCGGTTCCGGAGACGCTGAATTGAGCTCAACATGAAGACGAGCTGACGGCCGGCAGGCAGACGCTTGAAAGCTTACTTCTTTAGTTAATCGGCTGGTTCAGCGTTGTTAGCGTTACTTGTCGCTCACCGGAAACCAACTTCCGTTTCTCTTCTAAACGAGTCGCCCGGTTAACGCAAGCGACCGCTACTGACGAACTAAGTGTAGCTAGCCCAACACCACGCCATCTCCCGTGCCGACTTTGCGCCATTTCAACCACATTGAGTTGAAGCATCTATGCGGTTAAATGTATAGGACAAATTTGACGGTTGGTTACTGCAAAATTGATGTTCGCTTCCGGGAGATTCGGACCGAGTTTAAGCGTAATGTATATATGGTCCATATAACGAGAATAGCCCTGGCTAACATAACACTTAGTCTTTTCTGCATGTTTCTGTCGTAGCAGTCTAATGAAAACCTCTACACAATTGCTAGAGCCACGCATTGAGTAAGATTAGTAAACAAAAAGGTGGTCGAACTGATCAAAGGCGTGATCCCAGACACAGCGGCGCAATGGCCCAAAAGCACGATAATGAGTAGCTTCGTATATCTCTTCAAGGAAATGCTTGTTGCATATTTGTTAGCTGCTGTTGCTGCTGTCAGGTAACAATAAATACCGCCTTGTTTTAAAAAAGTAGTAATAGGGATTTTATAGGGTTAACTGAAAGCAGCCTATCGAAAAGTTATTTGTCGACAGCCTTGCCTTTTCAGAGGGTGGGATTCGGCACTGCCTTGTCGTAGGATTCAATGTAGCGTTAGGCTGTATGCCAATAAAATCCCAATGGATCTGAATAAGAGTGAAATTGTACGACCTGTTATAAACGTCTGATAGAATGGTAGAGAATAGGATAGAGCTCGTTTATTTTCAGGACTTAAGTTTTATTTAGCAATGTATTTAGAAATTCAGGGCACTGTTTGTACTCTCTACAACGAAATTTCGTCATGAAAAGTTCTGTTATATCATCAATATAAACGTTTAAGCAGACTTACATAGACGTCTACATAGAACTTGGAAACTCCTCTTACAGCATAGCTTATACTAAATCAAGTATACTACAGAAGTTAGCATTGCAGAGATGTGCCTACTAGAAAATCACTGGCCCAAACCATGTGCCATATTATCTTCAAGCAGATTATCGAGCTCTTAGGTCGTTAAGGATTAATCAGAATAGACAGACATCAAATTACCGGCGAAATAACCTTGAGATATTGAGAAGTAATCCCAGAAGTGTCACCATTTATAAGATCAATGAAAAGCTTATTTGACCGCTCTCTCGTTGAAGTAATAAATGTTTGAAGGTCTGCGTTAGGTAATAACATAAAACATACTTGCAAACTTTTTATGATCTTTCAAACGCGGCACTTCTCATTAAAAATTTAATGAACGATTCTTACAACCGGAGCATTCGGCCTTTTAAATGACAATAGGGCAATAAGGCTATTGAATTGCCAATGTCATCATTCACAAGATGCAGCGTCTCACGCACAGAGACTAAAGATGTTTGAATGCACAAAGAATGCTACGTGAACGTATCTCGCGAATACTGTAGGTAGCAAATACTTTACGTCTACGGGTTGTTATAGTGGTCACTTAACCCATATAATTGGGATATAATCAAGTAGATAAAGGAATCCTTGAGCTTTAGGTGTACGGTAGCTGGTATAATTCGAATCGTGTACCACCCGTTTTATTAAGCCTAATACATTTCATAGCGTCAAAGTAAAGGGTCTGATCTTTTCGCAAAACAGATTTGCATGCAGATTAATAATATCTTTTGCAAGGGCTGGAATACACAGGCAACTATATTTATAAAGGCTTTGGAACTTTGGTGAACAGTTTTGTACCTAGCAGAAAATAAAGGATATATATATATTGTTTATGTTGTTTTTTTTATTTATGGCGCACAAGGTAGTATACGGTGAGATTAAGATATATCTTTTAAGGGGCCCGGTTCAGTGCCAACATGTTTCGTGTAAATCTTTATCCTACTTAGATGTTTTATGTCAGTTCTTATATTCTGCAAATGATTCATCTCGGTCAAATAATGTAACACAGCTCTTGTATACGACAAACGTCTGCTGAATGTCTAATTGGCCGAAAATGAAAATCTCCGTTATTATGAATGTATGCACGTAAAACTTGCACAATCGGTACAACTCTAATGCATAAATATCCGCGCGCGAGATAAGCCTTTTTGTCATACCGTTGTTGCCTCATTTTTGGCGACTGTTGCCTTCTGTCACTGCTTGTGCTGCCCCTACGCATCATCCTATATCCTATACTTCCGTTTCTCGTACGGACACATACACACAATGGAGGCTTTAAACACACGCACAGCCACATGCTCACGTCTCCTTTTTTTCCGTGGTTGTTCTTTTAGCAAGCTTCTTCGCTTGTTCTGTCCCGCAGCCTGCTTTTCCTTTCTCGTGACCGTTCTGCCTTGGCATTGGAAGTGTGTGCAGGACGTGGTGATCGCGTGACTTATGTCACTAACAAGGAAACAGCCTTCCATTGCGACCGGATATGGGAAAAGGCGCTAGAGAAAATGTGCATATACCGCGGGTGATGACGCCTTTGCTAGAGTTTGTCCTGTTGCTACTGCCGCTGCTTCAGTAAGATCTTGTGTGCTTAAAGAAGATAGCAGCAAAGCGGCACAAGCAACTTACGGAGCATTCTCCAAGGGGATTTCTTTACCGCCATTCTCCATGTAGCGGTTTGCACCGTTCAGCCAACGGACCAGACGTACACACAAAGTCCCCTTCAAGGCAAGCCGCAGAACGGCTTTCCCTAAGCCCAACAGCTCTAACAGCCGGGTCTAAGGTTCTTGAAGCAGCTACCGAAAAACCGTTCGTTTCAGAGTAAACGACGGCTCAGGAGATTTCTCTTGTTCCATATGCTTCCACCTAGAAGTTCTTCCAACAGCGAGCTGAACGCTGGACTTCTTTCGACCCTTCTTAGTCTCTTCTTTCTGTTCTTATCCTATACACGTGTAATAATTTAACACTCTTACTATCCACGTAGCATGACCGACTGATTGACTGACTGACAGACATGTACCTTTACCAATGAGTAGAATGTCTTTTTGTGTATGTACATAACAGTTGCGCTGTATACCTATGTTGCTATCGCTTCTGTTGCTAGGACAAGCATACATTTTTGGCATATCATATAAGATATATATGGCCTTTGGCAAAACATTTCGAAATAGATTTTTTTTACTATTCACTGGCTTGCATGTACTGTATGCGGACACATTTATGTGCGATTTAGAAGACAAATTACTGTGTCGACTTTGTCACTTCGATAGTAGCAACACACAAATATAATAAGCATTTATTTTTATTTATGTAGCCTATTTGATTCCGAATAAAATTAACTAATTAGTGAGATAGAAAAAGGCGATATCAAAAGGATACTTCAGTGAAAATAGCCGACGAGCTGGTCAGTTAAGCCATGCAAGGAAATACCACTACGACCCCGCGGCAGCAATTGTTCTTAAGTGTCGTTTCGAATCATCCAAACATAGGCACTAGTGTAGGCTAGTGAAGGTACCTCATCCTGATAACTTGGAACATTACCCGCAGTGTCGACCATTGACCAGATGACCATTGAGGTTCGTTAAAGAAAGGTCCAAGCTTTAGAGCTAGCCGGCTGGAATGGAAATAACCTCAAAGGGGACTCTCCGTGAAACTTCTTCTTGAGTGGCTCTTGCATCTTCGAAAACGTGGTTGGGTCGTCATAGTGGCGGATGGATCTCAACCAACTATCCGGATTCTACCGAAGCGTGGTAGCGAGGTCACTACACTGGATGAAGGGAAAGCAGATAACGTAGCTGAAGACGGAGGGCGAAAGGAAAACAAAAAAAACAGAGCGTGAAAGAAAGAAAGGAAAAGATAAGGATTCAGCAGTAAGCGCATGCCCAAAAACCAAAAAGGGATGGACAGGGTATTGGTGGGCCAGTTGGGAAGAGACCAAAATATTTGGAAATTGACTGGCTGCCAATAACCGGGGAACGATGAGGAGTCACTGTCGGCGTTTTGTGGGGCAAGCGCTGAAGTCCGGAGATCTCTTGGATTTTTTTGGTGAAAGGGGCAGGCAAAGGCGATCCGGCCCCAACAAACGCTTTAAGAACCACGGAGTCATAGATCGCGTTATAGAGCCAGAGAAAAGCAGCTTGATGTCAATAATGGGGAACTCTGTGGGGTGTTTTTTTCTGTCTGTTCGTTTGCGTTAGTCGGAAAAGCACTATCGCCAAGCCGAGGTGCTCGAGCCATGAGAAGGGACAGTGAATAAATGCAGAGAAAGAGACAGAGGTAAAAAAGGAGGTGAGTGGAAGAAAGGGAGATGGACAAATGGAAAACAGCAGCAACACATTCAAGTGCGATATAGTGCCTGCTTTCTTGACTAGCGACGCTTGCCATGGTGTAGTCTTTGTAAAAGAGAGGCCCATCATCGACGATCTGTGCGAATGAGAGGGATCGTTTCAAATTATTGCTTTCTGAACAAAGAGCATAGAAACTGGGCAATATCAACACGGATATAGATGCTTCCGTTACTACCTTTGTCCTTTTTACTGCTGCTGTTGCCACTCTTGTGTCACTCTCCTTCCAAACGCAGCTGTACAGCGTTTGATCAACAACAGTCCCTCCGGTACACAACTGTCTCGTCGTTATATACTTATTTCGCCTGCGCCACGTCCATCGGTCGAGATCGTATCAGTGGCGAACGGAACGAGGGGTCTGTCAGGGCCACTGGACAGGCGTGTGAGCTCACATACTACCAGCACGGAAATTAGTCCAGAAGCTACAAAGGAGAGTACGCGAAGAAAGCAGGGCATAAACAGTACTGTCCTATAAACAAATACCTAAGTGCGACACGCATTCACGTAAAATGGTGCAATGCTAAAACACCTATTACATTCCCGACGTTGTGTATGAATGAAACGACCAAGTTATAGCGCTATAGTAACAATCTCTCAAAAATAAAGAAGACAAGGACAACACAAAAACGATGAAGATTCTTGCAAACGTCATTGTTTATTATAATTTTCATTCAATGTTGTTGTGTTTTGTTTGTTGTTGTAACAGAAGCAAGAAGTATATGTATGGGAACGAGACTCACCGCGGTGTTAACGAAATTAAAATCATCATCACTATTAGAATAATCATAAAAGTCTTTCATCGTTATGCTCCTCTTTTTCGACATTTTTAGCATTATTGTCATCATCGGAGAAATGAAAACATTCTATTGTATATATATATATATATATATATATATATCTATCTATCCAACGCGTCCTCCGAACACTGCTATTGTTCTTGTGGTCGACGTATTATCCCGAATAAGAAAAGCATAATGAATCTCATTTCAAATCTGCTGGTCGTCTGCATACTCAAGTAATTACGCGTCATGGGGACGTGCCAGACAGCCATACACCTGTTTGATGGTACCCTAAATGCAACGATGACGAATGGATGACATTAGGAGAAGATGCTGTTTCGGATTTCGGCAGCGAGCACCATTGCTAAATATAGACTGTTTGGCCCTGTTCTTACGCTGGTCTTCGGTTTGTCAAGTTTGCGCCTTCCCCGAGGGCGCTACGCACGTCCATAGACACTATGGCCCGAATGGGTCTGTAGAAGTAATGAAGGGCGGACAACCCAATTCGTCGTCGAACAATATGAATAAAAACAAATAATCAGCTTGACAAGGGAAGGAATATGACTAGCAAAATAAAAAACGAAGGAAATTATCGTCGTCTAAAAAAAACAAGCAATCTACAAATGAAGTTGCCTCTTCATCTCTTTAATAGCAGCCTCACTGACTCTAGCCAGCAGCGGATCTACTATCGCCGCCATGAGGTCCATGAGATGAAAAAAATATGTCGTCGACTTCGTCGTTCCTCATACATGCCCAAAATGATCACTTAGTGCGTACGTGCCTGGAAGAATACAGTTTGGCATGGTCTGGGCACCAATGACTCCCCTCACCTACCGTCTGTTCCCTTGTAGAGATATGAATTATCTCTATAGATCAGATTTGTGTACCAGCGTACGTTTGGTTTCTATCTCTCGTAACAGGTGAATGTGTTATTCCGGTTTCTCATTTATTATCTTGTTGTATCATAGGACTTTCGTGCATGTATAATCGCTCATTTGCCTGCTGCTGTCTTCCTGCTATCTCTCAGTTCATCTTGTTTTGTAACTTCTCCAGCCTTTTCTTTTTCACGTCGCCAGCGTCATCGCCATTATGTTACTATATTTATCATTATTAAGATCATTGTGGCTTCATTTTTAGCCATCATCCCATCCTAACCTGCACTCTTGGTATTTACTTCAGTCGTCATCTTATCTCTCTCCTTTCCCTTGTTATTTCATCATCTTATTCTCTAAACCGATTCCTTTTTTCTTCACATATATCTGCCCACCATATCGCTTCTTACCTACATCACTATAAGTAACTGGATGGATCATAGTACAGTTTACATACCACACGCGCCCAGCGCCTGCCCCGCTATTTCAAACTCCGTGAGTTTTCTTCCCCCGAACTATGTCTCCCGTTTCGGGTCTTCTCTTAACAGCCTGTTAAGTCTATTACCGCTGGCCCAACGCGTTGCCCACATATGGTTTAACCGTACCTAATATTCTAGCTAGCGTTCTTACCACAAGTTCTCTTCTAACATGGTTATCGCTCCGTACAGAAGCATTTCATCGTCCCAACAACTGAGCAAGTTGCAAGCAAGCTACAGTCACTGGTTTCCCCTGTCACGGCCAGGAGCACTGTCGTTACGGAACTAGCTGCAGCCGGCAGGAGTGCACCCGTCGTAATGTAGGTGTGGGTACTCTTGAGCCGTTTATATTCACGTGGATGAAACCCCCCGGCTGTATGAGTGTAGAATAACATGGCCTTTTTCGATTGGTTTTCCTTCGCTTTCAACAGCCAGTGAGCTTTTTCCGATCGCCAACACTACTACTACGAACGAAACTCTTCGTCGAAGTTCCTCAAGCGGTCTCACACAGTTTTCCGACTCTCCTAGCATCACCACACAGGAGGAACTGCAGTTGCAACCAGGAGTGCAGCTACCAAAAGCATTTCCGAGTGAGTTTTTATCCTAGGCTCGACGCTGTCAATAGCTTTTCCGCGTACCACAGCATAGTCTATAAGCTGTACTCTTTTACCACCCATAAGTCAGCTCTCGGAACCCCGACTACGACTCGCTCTGTTTCTCTCCTCTGCGGACCCTTCATAGCTTCATTCGTGTTTCACATCGATGTCGTCGTCGGTGCAGTCCTGCAGGCCACTTCTGGTCTACTATGCGATCGACAGGATGCACGATATATATTTACGAATGACGGCGATAGCAAGTCGTTATGATGTAAGCGTGGCAGCCGCTGCATCTTTGGCAATCGTGACAACGGTGGTTGTGATAACGAGGTCGGAGGGCAGCAGATTAGCATTTTGCAACTGCTGCAGCGGGCAACTTGTTAAGGCTATGCACTCCGGCTCGACCCGACTCGCCCCATTGGAGCTTGCTCTTGCCTATATGCCTTCTTGTTTGCTTAATATGAAAATACGGAACTGCTGTAAAAATTGATGGCTTCTGTCTCTGCGACTGCCTTTATGAGTTGATTCGTGGCTGCTGCGGAAAGATCTAGTGGCGTTTTTGCTATGAGCGACTTAACTAATGACATATTTCCGCGCATCATTTGCAGCAGAAGATGCAATGCGACTTACCTGCCAGGTAGTCCAGTTGCTATCATCGCCATTTTCTAGCTCGTTCGTATCGTCTGCAATGGCAGTTGGACGTCGACCACAGTTTCTTCATCAGTTTGTCCTTTTGACCTAAGCCCTTTCTCTTCCACCGTCAACCTGCCTTTTTGATGATCACTGTTTGGTTTGTTGAAACCATGATGAAACCTTTCGTTGCACGTGTTCAACAATAGATTTGTTGATATTTGAATTTTAATAGATTTATGAATAAAATAAAATCTACAAATAGCAATGATGCCGGCTACCTATTCGAGTCAGACGCCCTATTTCCTTGTTCAAATCTGGCACTGGATTTAAATTGAAGAATTGCTGGGGTTGATCAAGAAACCATTATAGGTATCGGTCATTAGTTTACCGGTAGCTCATACAATGAGCGGTCGATGCCGACTCGTGATATTACATACAAGAGATTTACATTTTTGCCATCCTAAATCTATGCTTCTCCGATGCTTGTTAAGAATACTCCCACAGCGAGTCTATGTATATAATATTCATTTGGATGTAGTAGCATCAGATTCGTGGTGTATAGCCCATCGAGCTATCTTGAGTTATTTCTCAGGGAGCATATGTGTACGTAGGGTTGGGTTAAGTCTTCCTATATGAGTTTGTGGGAATGCTCGTTAGTACAGCACGGTAATGTCCATAATACAATTACATAGCAGAGTAATTACTGGCCCAGCGGCTCTAATTATTTAGACAACAGTTTTGCATATGGCAATGAACTTGAGTCGAATAACGGCAACGACTTTGTTGGTGCACACGCTTGCTTGATATAATAATAATATATATATATATATATCAAGTCTATGGCTCAGTAGTGTCCGTGGTCAGCTGGTTCCGGGAAAAGCAACGGCGTTCGCATTGAATCGATCGGCATGTCACTCGAGTAGATACGCTGCTGAAGACTTTGCTGATGCTGGAAATGTTTTGAGTGGATGCACTGATCGCCGATCAGGTGCTGCAGTCTAGAAGCGTTGCCAAGGAAGGCAGAGCTTGTCTCCGGAAAGAGTGGGTCCTCGTCTGCGCTGGCGATAGGACCGAACAAGAAAAAGAGGAACAAGAGAATTGTGTATTTTTATAATCGTTTCTACCACATCATTTATGATACAAACAAGTTTCCCATTCGAAATGACCAAACCAACTAGATCTGTATAGTGCGCCGCTAGTCGACCCAAAAATTCTGGGCAGGGTAAAACAATGCAAGCAAAACCGACAATAGATATCTAGTGCGGGACGAAATAAAAAAAAACATGCGGTCATGTCAAAGCCATGTTAAGTGGAGCGGGAAAGTTGATGGAAAGTTGGGTCTCAAAAATCGATATGTTCTTCTAGTTTCCGTGACATTAATGGCGAGTCAGCAGCAAATAGCAGAGGCAGATCGAGCAGAAAATATAAAATGCCGTCCTTATCACTGAGAAGTGAGCGCTCCTTGGCGTGAACACAAAAGCTATAGGGGGGTAAGAACCAATTCTTCTTTCTCCTTTCGTTAGTAGACCACTAAAGGCAGATTTTCCTTTTCTGCTTTCGACGTCTCTGTCATTGCCCTTGCTTTACCAGCCGCCACCGAGACTGCTGCTATTGCTGCAGGAGAAGCAGCTTCAGTAAAAGTGTAATAAGAATCACAACAGAGCAGGTGATAGTAGCGCTAGTCTTACAAGCTACGAGCTCCGCCAAACAACCGAACGTAGCGAGACTCTTCAGACGCCGTAGGGCTGAGCTCGAAGAGCACCTTAGCGAAAGGGAGTGTAGTAACACTGCCACTGGTATCCTTTTTGCAGCGGTACGGTAACAGCAACGCCAGCGGCTGTAAAAGAAAAGAATCGAAAGGGGAACGAAACAAATGAGATGGAGAGGAGAAGCGAAGAGAAAAAAGAATGAAAAAATAAAGAGAAAAACGAATGAGCACTAAGAATGCGCAGAAAATATGTTACTAACGGAAATGGTGTAAAACAGCGGAATATAGCAGACGAAAATGCGTGACAGCAGCAACAGACAAAAAGATTGCGCGCAAAAATACCTCGAATTCGAGCACACAGACACGTACTGGCTCACAAGCTTCTACAGATATGGTAGCGCACACAGGCGGGCGCACGGACAGACTTACGCGTCCACACACACACACTAATTCGCACTGACAGACATGGGCTGAGTGAGGACTTCAGTTTTTTTTTGGATTTTATGTACGATTGCACACTTCTAGAAAAACTGAAGGGCACTCAACACCATTGGCGAGCATGAAGAGCACAAAGCCACGTCATATAGTGAATGAGACATTTTATTCCGGACAATAAAAGAAACGAAATACGAGCAGCCCAACGGAAAAGACCTTGGCCTATGGGCCCTTCAGAGAGGCCAGTCATCGCATATTGGTGGCTGAGGACCTAGAAGAGCAGCTGGCGTACGGTCAGACAAAAATGCGCGAACTAGAGCGGTGGTCCTTTTAGCTGTCGCTGAACAAGAAACAGGTTGTCTAGGTAGGAACAGTAAATACGAATCGAGAAAACTAAAAGCCAGCTCTTAGCTCATACTAGCGGTTGTTCAGAGCAAATGCATTCGCACGCGCTAGCAAGGAAGACACGTCGTAAGAAAAGAAGGATGAAAGACGGGGACCTGAAGACGAGTCAAGAGTTGTCGGCGTTTGACATCGGGCAGTTTATACAGGCTATAGTGCAGTCCCTATTATTTTAGCGTATGTATATAGGACAACATAGAGAAAATAGAAAAAAATAATCGACTCGTTTATGGTATTGGCAGGCATGCAACTGCTCAGGCTAGTCTAGAAGCTGAGTGATCCGTATCAGGAATGAGTGGGGGAAATCGACAAGCTAGGAAATCGCCTGCTGCTATCCCTTGACAAATAAAAGGGACGAAGCAAAGCATAGGAATAACAAGTAACCCCGTCTAAAGACTCACAGGTGTCCACTAGCACCATCATCTTTAAGTCGCTCGCAATCCGCGGTGAGGTGGTCGGGTGAGCTGAGGCGGCCTAGACGGCATTGGCAAACTGTGACAGCAATGGCCACAAGGGCACAAGCTCCGGCCAAAGTCGCACACGCCACGTAAATCGTATGCAACCGCTCGGAACTGGGCCGTCGATTGTCATCTGGGTTATAGACACGACGTTCGGCGATCGCTTGTGGATAAGCAATCTCTGTAAGAAATAAGTAACAGTGCAGCGCGCTTAATTGGATTGACTCCTAGTTTATATTAGTATTTGTGTTGCAAACCTTTTTGCTTACTGTTAAAAAAGAACGAAACCCATAGAGGGCAAGGATTTTGCTAAGCCCTTTGTGCGTTTATTACGCTACGATGTTTTAGTTCCATGTGTATTCCATTCTCAGAAATGAGGACACGCGGAAACGGGCAAGGACCATTTGGTTGAATATGTTTCCAACTCGACTGGGACGACATCGGAGAATAACAACACAGTAATTGCGCCTTGCGATTTCTACAATATATAAAAGAAAAAAAAATGTCGTCTTCATATGATCGAAACCCATCCGTACAGCGCTTTATTTGTTGATTTTTTGACGTTCGTCAAATAAACGCGAAATTAGAATCCAGGAATTACGCTGATCTTTGGTCCACATCCAGTCTTGGTTCATGTAAGTGATCTATGTCGGTATTAACTATACAATACTATCATCATTAGCCGTCTGCTTTTCCAATAACTCCGCTTTATCGTTTCATGAACAGAGGGAGGCAGACCCTGTGCACCCGTAAACAGTTCGGTGACTAGCTTTCATGCCATTCGACGGTAAAAAAAATATACATTACGGATGTTATGCTATAATAGTCGTGGACCAGCCGGACAGTAAATAGGAATGGATAACGTAACTGACTATGAGTAAAGATGATGGCATTGGAAGGAGTGAATGTAGCGAATCGAAGGGAATAGTAATACTGATTCAATATTTTGGCAAAATAATAACTATATGAATACGAAAGTTTTTAATCGATGCAAATGAATCTTTCTTTTAATATTCATCACGGGAGGCAGAAAGGAGAATGCTTTTTCCGATCCTTTTTGCTAGGTATACATATGGCTTTATCCGTAAGTCTCATATTGTAAGTTGATACAAATCATCACCCATTCTGAACCACACGAATGCCCATCAGGTACACGCATGTCCTTATATGATATAGCGCACTTGAACGTGACCAGATTAAGGAGGCTAAAACGATCGACCACGTAGACAAGGACGCCAGTCAACTACTCTCTGTCAACGTTGTCAGATAAACATACTGTTATATTTATATCTAAGGAAGATTTTTTAATCAACAACCGTACCTTAAGGACATTAAGTCCTTTTTTTTTTTTTATAGAACCTCGACTTGCAGTTCTTTTCTGTACTCCTTCGTTAACTATTATTTAGGAAATTCAACCGACGACCACTTCGCAACGCCAGTGATCTAATGACACAAATCATTTTTGTAACTGTTTCATGTACAAAAAAGCTTCATCGTTCCAGGTTTTTATTCGTTTCGTTTCGATGTTAGCACTCTACTCGAATGAGCTTCGTTACTCAGGTGGTGGTGCATACTCCTCCGTCATAGTACAATTTGTCTTATGTGGTAGTCGATAAATGCTAGTTTTCGGCAGTTCCTTTAATTCCTTCGTTCTCGACCCGCCTCGTGTCGTCACGCATTCATTTTTTTTACCTTCGCAGTTGTCGCCAGCGAAACCAGGCGGACACGAGCAGTAAAAAGTATCCATGCTGGGCCAGCATGAACCACCATGCTGGCATGGGTTCGGGTAACATGGGTCGAGCTCGTCGCGGGTCGCGCAACCGGAGCCACGGCATACACAGGTGTAGTTGTTGCCCCGGTCGATGCAGGTGGCTGGAGCCGCGCACGGATTCGGCTCGCAAAGATCCACCTGCCAAACGTTCACAGAGAGAGAAATAGCAATTAACTGACCACGTTTTAGGTTTTGGATAATACTTGACTGGAACGTTCGCAAGTGTCTACGTTTTTCGTTTAAGTTTTTTGCTTTTGGGCGACGAAAATAATCTGCGCGGCTGATCCATAAACAGAAACGTGATCTTGTTGTTAAGTCAATTGAAGGTGGAGGCGCGCCGATGTTTTGGACAGCCAGTACGTTCCATAATACCTACTTTAATTTCGCATCGGCGTCCTGTATAGCCAGGCCCACAGTGACACTTGTAGCCCGCGATCAGATCCTCGCAGGCACCGTTGTTAACGCATGGCGATGAATCGCACTCGTCATATTCAAACTCGCACAGCTCGCCGCCATAACCCGGCAGACAGTAACACTTGAATTCGCCAACGCCGTCTTCACACATCCCATGAACGCACGGTTTTGATTCACATTCATCGATGTTTACTTCACAGTTCGGTCCCTCAAATCCTGGTGGCAGATAGTGCCGTGAGTAATAAAAAGACACGAAAAAACAACAAAAAAAAACCACACACGGTCACGATCAGCTCGATACAAGAATAAATTTTGATCCATTTTAGCTTGTACCTACGATGACCACAGCTTCACACTAGAGGACATAGATAATGAAAGATTATCGATTGGCGGCGTAAATGTATCTTCTTGTTCCGTCTAGATCAATACGCAAATAGCGCATAATAGGAGAATCTAAGTATGCATGATTAGTTCGCCTTGGCTGTACAAAGAACAGATTAAGCATTGACAACAGCCAGTAGAAACAGCGGGGATGCCAATAGCAACGAAACTACGTATTACAAACGACAACAACCCTATAATTATTATAAGTGGTTTATTCAAGCTCTGTATGGAAGTAGCTGAACATAATCGTATCAGCGGGAATACACGGGCTTTTCCGATCCAAAGAAAGAACCGAATCCGATCCAGCATGAAATTAAAGTGAAGACAAAGGAAAATATAATCGAATACGAAGCTAGAGCAGGCTTACAGCAGACCGATTCGTCACTAGCTACACCATATGTGTAGCTGGTTGCTGTATAGAGCGGAGAATAGACCGAATAAGGGCCTTGATGTGCTTGGCGTGGCCTGGCAAAAGGGAAATCCAGTCATAGAAAGTCAGAGTCAATTGTTGAGAAGAGTAGTCGAGGAAAAGTCGCGAAGGGCAGATCAGAGTTGCAGGACGAGAACATGTGACAGACAGAGGAGATAACGCAGGCTAAAACTCTGGATAGAACGGCGAATTCATAGAATGGATGCAAAGATGGCGGTGCTACAGTAGGAACTGGCAGATGCAGTTTCGTCTCAGGTGCCCCCGGTTTTCCTCGTGCAGTCGAAACTGGCCCGACTTTGCCCCGAGCGCTGCCTGCTAGGCAGAGACGGCAAGTGCATGCGGATGAGGCATCTCGCCCTACTTAGTGCCTTGAGCAGGCTATGGCGCGTGGTTCTACAGCAGTATAGTGTGGTAACGCTGCCAGCTCAACGGATAACCGATAATAGTCTGTTGGACGCTATTCGATAGCGGCATGACGGGAAGACGACATATCCAACTACTGCCGCTGTAAGTACTGCCGTTGCCACCGTTGGTGCGATGCGCTTGACGCGTCCTGGCTTACACGATCCGCCTGCGTCTAATATAATATCACAGCATTTGCCTACGTCGCTCAGACCAACAGTTGGCTCGACCTCTCTTTGTGTTGCCTAACGGAACACATCGCCCGAGCTGAAAATCGTATTGAATTGCGTAGAATAGAAACTACGCGACGAACTATTAACGTACTCGAAAACTGGTACGACAGTGTGGTAACACTTGTATACATAGGACTCTGACTAGTGCAACTTGACAGTATGTAACTTGGCAAGCCAGCTGCCGTCCATTAAGTCAGGGGATTTGTATACGAGTTTATATGTTAAAAGACAAGCGACGCAATTATCCGTTGCGAATACCTACTCGAGCTGTTACTAATGGATTGAAGCAAGTCAACCTGCGTCTGTCGAATTTTCTCCTCGATCGCGTTTCCGCTAGCATTACTTAAGCGCCTGAAACATTGACGCATGTACGTACGTTCGTAATATGCACAATAGACGTTAGGAATAGCAATAGAGACGGAATGATACGTCACCTCAAGAGTGTCTTGCAGTACATATCATACACGTACATCATTATATGTTTGATTTATTCTACATTTTATAGCCACATATCTGACGGAGATGCAACGTACAACTAGGACGTGCAATAGACTAACCTTTTTGACACTGGCACGTATATTCTGGTAAACCAGTAGAGGCGTTGGCTGGCGTCGACGTGCAAGTAGCATTATTCTTGCATGGATGATGCATTTCGCAAAAGTCAGCGTTTTGTTCACAGTTGGCGCCGCGAAAAGCATGTGGACAAAGACACTGGTACAAGCTACCGTGTAAGCCTTCGCTAATGTCAACGCAGAATCCGTTGTTTCGGCAGGGCGATGTTGAGCATGCGTCAAGTTCGTCGCATGTTCGACCTTTAACGCCCGGACAGCAATGACACGTGTAGGTACCCTGAAATAGAGATATAAGTACTCTGCGTTGAAAGCATACCTTTGTCATGTTACATTCTTGCTTCGGCAGCATTAACACAAATTACCCCCATAATGATAAGCTCACTCTTGTGCGATGCCTATTTGACCTATTTTCGATTCAAGACGGTTCTATTTCGTCTAGGTAGAATAATTACGCAAGGAGTAATCTATTATTTTTTGCTCGTATCGGTGAATCAAATGGCCTTTTGCATGATATCGTTGCTAGGTGATATTGATTAGTAGGCAGAATAAATTTTCTGTTGTCGTCGCTGGTGAAAATATAGGGAATGTCTCGAATGATGGGCTTTTTTCTTAATTCTAATTCTGGAAAGGAGAACAACAATTCGTGTTTCGATGACTCAAAGCTAAATTGTCACAACGGTTTGTTTGCTTGGCCAATCGTCTTGCCGCCGAAACGGGTTTACTTCGAAGACCAATTTCATCTATGGCTAATGTTAGGCATATTGTCCCAGGGAAACCTAAAAATGTAATCCTCTATCATTTCTCTGCTTTTCATAAATCGTTTGACTGAATCAAACAGTACAGCGACGGCCGGGAAAAGCAAAGGACGTAGAGAACTGAAACGAAACTTTTGAGGAAGTCGTAGAGAGTCGTTCTGAAAGAAGAAGTCGTAAACTAAGAGGCTAAAAGACAAGCGAACGAGCAGATATTTTCTGGCGTGTCGTGTGCTTCTCTCCCGTCTGCTGAGTGCGTAGGAAGGGCGTCCCAGACAAGGAAATCAAGACAAATATTAAAGGTGCACGTAGGGGATTTGTACGAATTCTCACACCGTTAGCGCGTAAATTCCGCACTTCGTAGCGTTTCGTTCCTCCCAAAAAATACAATTTCACGTCACGACTACACGCCTAGATAGTACACGCTGCGTCGACAAGAAAATCGCTTTCAGAGAAGACGAGATCGCCGCAATCGTAGGCACTAAAAGCGACCGAAGCTATTGGAAGGCAATGCGCGACGCGGATCGGTGGCATCAAGGAGTACAAAATTCCTAGCCACTACTTTTGCATGAGTATATCTGTATGAAGACACGGAGAAGCGTTGCACCTTCACCATCGCTGATGTTGATTACCACGATGATAATGATGATGATGCAGTTGAATTTGGGCCGATTTGCGCTACATTTCTCCTGCAAAGCAGCGAGAATGGTAGCATTAGTGATAGCAGCATATTCAATGTCCTTGTCGACGTTGCAGTTGCAACTTGTAGTCGCCCGCAGTCGTTATTTGTTATGGCCACCGTCAGAACTCCCGTTGCCTCGGCTTGCACCGTTCTACCTTCGCGTTCTTGTTTTTCTGAAGCGGCGGCGAACGAGTAGCGACGTTGCCATCAACATTGTTAGTGACATCGTAAACACAAAGAGAGAAAGAAGGAGACCCTAAGACAGTCCACCAGATCGCGTCTATACCCTCCACAAATGCCTGCTGTTACTCATCCTCTGCTTCGTTCCGGATGCTGCCTCACTTCATTGACGAACAAAAGGTAGCCGTTGTCCAGGATGCCTAGCATTAGATTTTCGATCTATCGTTGCTTTTATTGAGGCGATCTGCCAAGTCTTTCGCTAACGGGATCATTCCTGCCAGTTTTGTTGTGCTTTAAATACCCCCCACCCTCCTCTCCGAAGTAAGCGCCTTTCGTGTCCTTTTTCCAGTTTCCGTTTACACGACTTTGCGACACCAGCTCAGCCGGCTCGACCGTTGGAGTAGAAAAGCCGCCGGCGGCGGCTGCGAAGGTGATACCGAGAAGAGCGGTTGACGAAAAGCACGCCCTCTTCCTTCGACATTGCATTAGCTTCCAATATGTCTCCAGGTGTACAAGTTCGGCCACATTGCACGCTGACCTGCTCAGTTACAGAGCAGAGTCAACAGCGCGGAACGGCTTTTCCATCAGATCGAAAAGCAGACAGAATAAGTACAAGTGACCTAGCAGACTACACGCCTGTAAATTTACGTGGATAAGTATTTTCGCTTCATGAACATGTACAACCTAGCCAAACAGAGACAGTTCAGCGAATCCTGAATAGCTAAAAGCGGTTCCATGTATGTCCGTGGCATAAAATGCGTGGAAGCATATGGACGGCTTCTTTAATTACTATTACTAGTAATATGTATCTAACAATCACAGCAGAGCTAAAAGAGAAGGATGTTGGAGGATGGTAAACGGTGAGGCGCAAACAGGGGGCAACGGGAGATAGCGCAGAGCAACTAACCGCTGGATGCAACTGGGTGTGCAGATGCATAGTCGCCGCACTTACAGAACCTAAGCGTATTTACTTGAATGCGGGCTTCTATTTGAAACTTTCTTGTTTTGTTACTTCGCTTGCTTTTTCCCAAACGTAAACCAGGTGCAAATGAAAGAACCGGTAGAAAAGTGAATGGCCGTAAAGTAGAGAATGTCACAGGGTTTACGTACATAAACCCATGGAGTCACGAGATGCCCAAGCCCCGCTTCGCCTCTATGCATTTACTGCAGATATTGCTATTATTTCTGTCTATACAAACTGAACCTCAAAAAGTTATCCTGCTGGCATATTACCATATGGATATGGGGACGACAGGATAAAATAAATCTGTATATTGGACCGCCAGGCCTCCCAAACTGAGGTGCAGTTTTGCTCGATACTACAGACAAATAATCATATATTGAATATGTATAATTTTTGTTATAATAGGGGTATATTCATATGCACCTAATTTTATGTGCCTAAGTATGTGGATGTACACTTGTACTTGCGTCCTATCTATGCAGGCAAGTAGGTTTATTTATTTTTACATATATAGAAAAGCACAATGTTCGGATAAGCCAAAGTGCACAAAAGATGGCGCCCATAGCCATATAGAGCCGGATACGTGCGCAATAACTGGTCAATGTGCTGTTGGCGGACGTAGGATGGAAATATGAGGCTGTGGAACGGGAGGAGTTAGATATTTCAGCCGGCCGGCATCGGTATGAACAGCAGCAGTCGTAGCAGAAAAAGGCTTCTTTTCGGTAAGAACAGTGCCGTGAAACAGGGGTTTTGCGTGTCATCGGCATCCAGTGACCTTAACTGAGAGACGTTAGGTGTAACGGTATTCTGCACCTACACTTTTCCGTTCTCGCTTTTCCTCTCACCAACTGAATACTTTCCCCCATGTTAGGGTCCCTTGGGGGTCATCAAAGAAGAGCCCAAGGAGAAATACATAACGAAAATATTATTCCTGCCCCAGCGCTAGCAGCAGCTGATTCTATTCTTTCTCAACCCCAATCGCGAAAGGGCATCAGTTCGACTACTTGCACTTCATACATTTCCAATCTGTCTTTGAGAGCGCGAGAAGGAAGCTGCACAGATATTACAGTTCTATTTGAATATGTATGTATACGTTCATCTCGAATGGAACTAGAGGCCACAGGAGGCTACTGGAATGGGAAAACGGAGGGACATTCACCCGAGAGTAGGAAAATCTATGAGATGGTTGAAGGCCAGTAGAAAACTCCGCTATACGAAGAAACCAGGCTTTAGCTAGCACTCATCTACGATGGCAGGAGACCCATTTTTGACTGACTGAAGACACTGCGCAGGACAGACCGTGCAGCACTAAACGAAAGTTTCCTTTGCGACTTTTTGTCTTCGATCAACGAAACGACATATAGGAAGAGTTCCTCGACGTTGGGCTTTACTAACGAATGATTATATTGCATTTAATAAATATGTATTAATTATGTAGGATTGATTCGATGGAGACTTAATTCGTACTCGGACACCACTACATTTTGCACTTCGAAGGACAACCAAAAAAAGCTAAGAACCTAGTCTTCCAAAGATGCTCAAAGCAATTCTGTTACAACCATTTCCCCTGAGAACAGGTAAACTAGCAGATCTGCATTAAGCAAGTGAACGCGGCAATTCATTTAAATCCGCTTTCTGAAATGTCTCAGTAACGCGATTAGGCAAGGGGTACAACTGGAAAGGGATGTTTATTTTACAAAGCCTAAATTTGAATATAACATCGGTCGCTAGAGGCTGCTGTTGTTGATCATGCAGCTACCAACGCGTAAGCAGCTTTTTTGTGTGGACAACAGAAAATGGAAAACGGCCTAGGAACATTCCTAATCGGCTAACAGGAACTAGATGGAAACAGAGGAAGATAAGAATAGGCTAGTGTAAAAATGAGCTTCGGCAATTGATACCATGGCCGTTTGTATTTCGAGGAGCCGATGAAGGCTGATCCTTACGTAAAGATAGGCCAGTGAAACCGGGCTATACAACAACTATTTCCTACAGCTACCGTTGTAATGACTATCTAGCATATTGCATGCGGTCAATGCCAATTTACGCTAAGCAACCTTCTCTTCAAGGTAGAAGGAAGAAGACGTTTGATTTTTATATGCGTTGCTTTCGGCGTCAGCTAGCCTAAAATCTTCCTTGTCTAATTCTATTAGTTTTTAATGCAAAATTTCATGACCAGTTGTATATAATAAATCACCGAAATGACAACGAATGTGACGCATCGCTGTTCTCTGGTGCCTCAAATTCATGTTGCCCTAACCGGAAGTCTATAGATATACGATGATTAAACAAACTGTAGATTTTATTTGAATTTACGTATGATTTTGCCTTCTGCAAGCCGCAGCGTTATCAACGTGATCTAAAGGTGCTGCAGTGTATCTTTGCTTCTTTATTTTCATGAACGGTACACCATCCAACAGCGTTGTACAGGTTTCCCTTTGAACGTCACTGCGTAGTATATAAAACGTAATCCCCCCTGCCGTTACAGCAGGTGCCCGCTCAGTGCTCTCACGTATCGCATGAAGGCGTCCGCAGTGTCGCCACCTCAAATATGACAAAATGGGTCTGAGCGCTATGTTCAAAAATGGTATTTTCTAGATACAAAGTACTACTGCAGGCGAGGATTTTGGTTTTCCTGGTACGCGTCAGACGTAGCAATATAACTATGGCCTGAATGTTTACCTCCTAATATGACATAGGTGGTATCGAAAATAGTCTGCTGCGACTCTTTAGGGAGTTTGGCGCGTAGTGCGAACCGAATAAAAACCTTACGGCAAAGCATAGCCCCAGGGGCGTAGTCGAGCTCAATCAGGCGTTTCGAATGTCACTTGACTGATTACGTCCCTTAAATCTAATTTAAAGATGATCACATTGGCCCTGCTGGGAAGGACACGGTTCTACCTGAGATGAGAAGGTTGATTAGGATGTTCCTGAAGGAGTTTTGTTGTGGCTCGATTATATTGATCATTGCTCGTCTCTCAACTTTGTGAATCTCGGTATACCATTATCCGCGAAAGTTTTGAAGAGGTTGAAATCTCACGAAGGCATTTAAAAAACTAGAACAGTGCCATAAACTGTTGATATAAACTAGAACATAAAAAACATTTCATCAAATTTTAGCGATCTGGTTTTGTAATACATAAAGTCTAAAGTATGATACTATAGCATCTAGATTTTTTAAATACAACCCGCCAAAATATTTTGCCCTACGGCAGGAGTGACCTTGTCTTATGATTAATTGACCATGTTTAGCCTGTATCTATTTGAAAATATGAATTTGGCACTTTATTCTAAAATGCTGAATTTTGGATTGGTTGGTAGAGTTTGACCGTGTCAATGTCAAATGTAAAATACTTCATATAGGTAGTATCACCATTAAAGGACAGCACTTGTGCTCATCGAACTTAGCAACGAGATGTTTTAAGTGGTGAAAAAAATTCAATTAATAACAGTTCGTTCTTTTGATCTCTAATATAGCTCGGAGATGTCTGAATAGAACAAACATTAAAAAAAAAATTATGACAATGCCCTCAATAATGCAATGGTGCTAAACAAATATCAAGCTTAAATGCTATAGTAAAAGTTCAAATTTTTCTTACTTTATGCATTGCATCTATTTACACATTGATTTCAGATAAAGCAAAATAGTGTTTCGGCTACGATACGGCAGCGTATCGCAATACGCTGCCGTATTTTTGTCCATGTTGACACTGATCTTCCCACAACAGTCCACACGAATAGACCTCCTATGTCACTTTTTATTTGCAAATGTATTTAACCAACTAGACTTGCTACTACGCTTTGTTGTAACTCCATCTACGGTACCTGAACCTCATTAGCATTTAGGTAACTCATTGACACTGAGCAAATTGTTCCGCTCACCTCACCAGGGGCTAAGGCGCACACACCACGTTCCGAGCAAAGATCTTCTGAGTCTCGACGAGACTCACATTCCGAATCATAAACAGATATACGAATGTGCCAGACGCGCAAAACGCTTGAAGATTGCACAGCCACTGTGAAGACACGCAAAAAAGAGTCGTGTTAGATACGTTAAAACAATCAATACAACCTTGCCGCTCTAAAAATAAATAGATAACATTTATAGATCATTGATATGTTTACCACTTATGGGAAGAATAGACAATTGAGACAATTTTGTTCACGTTCAGCCGAACAGTGCGAAGGTAATTAACTGAAAATTAACAGTACTTGAGAGAAAATGGGCCATTGTCATGATGTCTAGTTAAACACATGTTGGTCTGCGTAGTTTCGACGCGTTTACGCATATATAATCATTAGCTTCAGTCAGCTGCTAGCGATTGTCGATCGCAGAATGAGCGGTATCATTTTATGAGTTCATATAGTACGAACACAGGTTGTTCCATAAGCCTACCAGTCTAAGGACTGATATTTTGCAAGACTTGTGCATAGGCTTCTCCTTTAATCAGCTCGAAATATTATTATAAGAGGAAAGACAAACGTTTGAAAATACATTGTTCGCCTCACGTGTGTAACTACATTTACGCTAGTGATCAGTTCAGATGAGAGGGTCCTCAAGCGGTAAATGTCGACCATTAGTCAAATAACGTATTGAACGAGTCTCTCCTAAAAATATTTGACTGCCTAAGACGGATGTGACTTCGTCAAAGATCTATCCCTTATACGTGCTTTATGCATATACAAATTTACTTAACCTGATTTCATAATGAATATTCCTTCTTAGACTCGTTTTATTAGCTCAAAAACGGCTCATTAGGGCTTCAACTATTAAGTCCTTCAATATTACATCGCCATGTGACATCTAACAACTTTTTCGGTTAGCAGTTTGTTCCTGTTATTCAAAATTCAATAGCATTATCAACGGGCTACTTGAAAGTATTCAGGTGGCTTAAGTTCATGATAGCCAATAGCAGAAAAAAATCTATCTATAGTAGAAACTCCTCTCTCGATTAACTGGACATTCGCGTCAGTGGTCACCATAACGTTGTTTACACTAGAGTATGCAGTAGACAGGGGGGGGGGGGGGTTCGTTCAATGTTGAGCTCAGTATAATCCACTAAAGATTTGTCCTCAGTCCCGTTTTCCTTATCCTACGTATTCGAAAACTATGCAAACAATAACAATCCGGTAACCGAACATGATGAACGGTAATGTGCTAAGCAACATTCATGCAGGTTACCGTGCCCATTAGTACTTTCTATTTTTAGACAAAAGATTATGGCTTTGGCACCGTAATGTTGATGCCCATAGGATCTGCACAGCGTTTATATTTATATAAATCTCTTGTACCGGCCTCTGCGATATATCGGCAAGCCCTCTTTTCTGTCTGCTGAGTAGGGCGAAAGCGACTCGTTGTAGCAGACGTACAATTCCGCCTTCAGGTTCTAAAACCGGCTTCAATGATTCAAAGGGATGATACAGGATCAAACATGGCTTCCATAAACGAACTGGTCGGACCAGAACAGAAGACCCTGAACGGACCCGACCGAAACAAGCAACAGGCAAAATTAGACACGAACACGCTATAACGATCGGAGTCGCGGACGGTTTGTCGAGTGACAGCCCCGCTTGGCGCTAGCTTCAGCCATCCTCTTCTGTCTGTTTCCAGTATTACCGATAGCAACGACTGAAGTAATAACTCGTTACTACTAGCTGTGCTACCACTTCTGTTCCTTGACCTTTTTTTATTTACTGGCTGGCTATGGGATCTGTCCTATCCTGGTTTGCCAGCCTGTCTGTTTTGTCGCCCCACTCCCTGCCTGCCTGCGTGCGTGCCTTATGCCTGCCTAGCACCACGGGCAGTACTCGACGCCCGTTGTTGCCCCGAAGCTGTTTTGGCTGCAGTACGCCGTCAAGCAACGTCGGGACGAACGGACATAGTTGCACAGAGAAACAGAACAGAAACAGAAAGTGAGGGCTTGATCGCAGGAGGCTGCAGGGTAGCGCTTAATTGCGCAATCAAAGCATTACCAATCTGTTAACAACAACAACTCGGTTGAACGAATCGAATTTGGACGACCGCAAGCGGTGCCAATTCTTGTTGATGGTCAGTTTTTTTCACAGCTTCCAGATACGTGATACAGAAAACGAGGGAAAGACAGGAACTGGACGTCTTTGCTTGTTCCCTGTAACAATAACCTAGTTTTTATGATATACACATGGTCTGCGTAATCACAATCATATGAAAGTATAACGACGATGTCGGCTCTCATAATACCAATACTCAACTAACTGAAATCAGTGTTTTAAGCATTAGCACTAGACGAGTGCTATTTTACTATAACTCGATGCGTTAATAGTACGGTAGACATACAGGGCAACCAGCATCGTTGTAAGCTTGTGGGCAGATCTAATTTGTAAAATTGCACGAAGAGTGATGGTGAGTTCTTTAGAGATTGAACAGGGGCGCTCAAGCAAATTATAATTTAGTATATTAAACACTTCGAATATTAGCTTAATGGCGTATGGACGCTTTATAATCTATGTATATATATATATATATATATTTCCAGACAGCTATTTCGGTTTGTAGGGCCAGTAACAATTAATTACAGTTCCGATTCGAACGGACCATTTTACCGCTATGCCATCATCGATACGTACGTTTACAACGTCTTGCTAGACTCATAAGATCGGAAAAATGTAGGTGATGGCAGAATGTAGGTGTAGGCACTTAATGCCTCTTCTACAATCTATTTTATTATAGCGGAAAAGCCACTAGACGGAATGCAACAATACAGAACTCTAAATATAATGATTATAATGTTCCTTTTGATTTAATCATACGTATCGTATAGTATATGTCACTGACGGAACTCTGACTAGAACTTTGGCGCCCAGGAGTTCGGCCGTCCAAGTTATTGCACCCACAATATTAAAAGTATGCCTATATAGTGGAACCACTGCTTGTGCTAATAAATTATGTAGGATCATTGATGCGCTCAGGCTTCCACGAGACGGCAGAGAAAAAAGCTTAAGCATGTAATTATAGGGCATAGCAAGCCGTGGTATTAGGTGAGAAAGCTGTCGGTTCGACCGGTTGCGCCGTCCCTAATCGTTTTGTTTATTCCCGTTGTAGGCCGGTCCACCGTTCGTCTGCGTCACTTGTAGTAAGCAGCCCAGGCGAATCTAGATCGTAGGGTTTTTGCTGTTTGCTGTTTGCTGTTTGCTTACCATAAATAATCTCCCCATTTGTCCTGCGATTCCAAACAGTTAACAATAAATGATGTGCTAACAGACTAACAAACAGGATCAACACTAGTAAAAAGTAGTAGTGGATCATTCCTATCCCGTAGTTGTAAAAAACGTCCCAAAATAGAAGGACGGCCAGATCCTGTAATCGTCCACTCGTCTATTCTTTTCCATCATTTCAAATGGGGTTAGAAAGAAACACAGTAAAAGATCAATCGACTATCGAGATATGCTGTCAATATAATATTTTAACATGAACGAATTATCATAACCATTAAGGACAGGCCTCTCGTTAGAGTAACCAAAATAAGGCCAACGGCGCTGCACTAAATCTGCTCCGCATAATGGCAATTAAACAGCGCGTATCTTATGCCTGAGTGTATCTTCAAATGCTTCGCTTAGAATCAACGTCTTGCTTATTTTCTATGTCCTCTTCTGGAACGAGCGTAGATCTTATACACAACAGTTGACTAAAGGTGGTACGAACGCGCTGTGGAAAATGCACGCACGCTTTTTGCGTGTAGAATATGTCTGTTCTTAGCGTGGCGTTCGGAGCTAATCGGGTACAACAATGCGATCTTACCGTATGCCTAATAAATAAATAACCATTAAGTAGGTGTTTAAAAAAATATCATACGATCAGTGATATCCGCTTGCTAATTTTACGGACACAGCCGTTACTATTCGGCGGAATTTCTAGAATTGAAAATTTAACACTGCCCGGAGAAGGTGTCTCTTTAGCTGCTGGCAAGACCGATTTTACGTGACGAGTGATTTCTACCTATAGTTTTATAGTGAAAACTTTCACTCCCATGTCGTTCTAGTACGCGTGAAATATAGATCCGAGCAACAAGCAATCTACGCATAACAAAATCTAGTACGTCAGAGAAGTAACTTGGGCATGACAAATCTAAGTAGCGTCTACTTGAGCTTCCTTCATAAGTTGCTATTGACTACGTGTGTGGTTTTAATCGACGCCGCCATCTAACGTGTCCCTCAATTGGCATACGGGCTTAAGGTTCGAATTTCGAACTTAGAGCTAGCTCACTGTATGAACGGAAAATTCGTACGACCTCTTACATATCGGTATTTAGTTAGTTTTTTTTTAGTATCCCGTGTAATAACTTCACGAATTTAATTCTGACCCACCTAAACAGGGGTACGTACTTAATGCACTCGACTGTTTTTCTATTTAATATTGCTAGTACTTAGACGTGTCGCCGTGTTACAAGAGGTATGATTATATAAAGAAACAAACAACAACACCAAAAAATATTTTTTTTTCTATTTATTATTGCGTACCATTTTTCTACAACAATGAAATGTGGTAGAAAAATGGTCGCGCAATAAAGATAGCTAGATAAATGGTCGTAGAAGCATTCCGAACGCTGAGGTCGGAAGCCTTTTCTGTTTGTAAGTTCTGAATGGCTTGAATTATCATGCGATTACTACCGAATGGAACTTAATTTTTTCACATATATAATGTTTGCCCTGATTGAGTAGTTTAATTGATGTAGACTGGAGATAATTATGGCTAAATATTGTTCCGCCGAGTTATAACGAACGATCATTGGTTCGATTAATCAAATATCTGAACACAGATATCCGCATATGGTTCAAACAGCGCCAGCGAAAAGTAACTATATGTTTACTTACTTTTAGAATAAGACGGAATATAACGAACTCGAACGAAAATTCGCATGGGAAATCATGGTTCTATATAAAACCACCAGCCAAGTGCAATTATTTGCTGAGCATTGAGATTTTCTGAGCCACAGTGTACTTCAGCACTGGTGCAGCCTCACGTCTCGAGATAGGACAGTAACGGTTTCATCATGCTTCGTTATTTGAACTATGACAGAAAGTTTACCTATAGGTTCTGGATAACAGACAGGGATGTAAACTGTAAACTTTTTCTAACTGTTATTACTTCAGATGGTATATTTATCACGATTGACTAGTTTTACCCGCAAAGAATTGCAGTCCGCTCTGAGTCAGAAGGTTGGCCTGAATGACAAACTGTTCAGCTCTGGTAGCATTCCAAACGATGGATCCATGTGGAGGCTCGACGCATTCGGTAAGCGCTTCCTCCTCTGATCGATGGAGCGTCACTACAGTCCCTTCATCCAACTCGTCGACGAACAGTCTGAAAACATGAGCACAGAATGATCGATTGTTCTAATTGTCGCCAGCTAAACTCTCCATTTATCCGCTCATTATCAAGCGGTATCCGAGCAAGCCTCAAGTCGTCTTCGTTTACCAATGCCTCCCAGATAAATATAACATACGCCATGGAAAAATTCGATTCTTAACCCAGTACAACCCAGCAAAATGTAACTTGGCAATTTTCCCATTATGTCCTTCTTAGTTATGGACAGAAGATACATAAATCCAAGAGATTCCACTAACAGCTTCAATAGCGACCCATATGGGTCTGAATCTGCGTACGCAGCACTGGCTGTTCACTATGGTAGACGAACTGTGGAGTAACTGATACATCAATTCCGCCGCCAAACAAGGTCTTTCGATTAGAGGCAACTACTAAATAGGCCTATATATATTTGTGTCAATATCAAGGTAATAATAGATAAGACGTAGCAACTACGGGTAATCTTGTGGCCAGAATCAGCTATCGCAGGCACAACGAACAGCGAGGCATGCTGCCTTAGGTACCCACTGTTTATATGGTGATTTGGTCGATCATGACGCAGCGAAAGCATCGAATATTTTTTCCACTTCCGTGCTCTTTGCTTATTTAGCTTTCCATAACCATACAACCTTAATACAAACGCACCGTGAATAGTTCAAAATTACAATGGGACAAATCAGCGGAAAATAATGAGCGTCCATGTTCCCGCCGCACTAATCTCTTATTGTGCCCCATTAACATAGGGAGCTTTATTATTGTGACAGATTAGCAGCACCTACCTCTAAGTCTAGCCAATTTTGTCCTTCTATACATTCGTCCATCCATCTGCAAGACGTATATTATACCTCTTCTGCGCCCCTCGCAACTCGGCAACGTACGACCATATCTGTTCATCCCCAGTTCGCGGTGCTCCCCTCTCTAAACTTCCCTAATTAATCCCAGATATCGGCGAGTCACAGCAGTGGATATATATATATATATATATATATATAGGAGAATGCAAAGGAAGGCTTACAATTGAAGTGTAACTGAGATTCGGTACGCTGCTAGTTAGTCATCGGCAAGAGAAACAGGTAATTGGAAATAGTAATCATTATTTTTACTCAATATGTTGATTACTTTGTAGCGGCGCTTAGATCACACATTACCCATCGTAACCTAATTTTCTGCGAATAATTCTGCGTAGAGTTCCCTGCTGTTACTGGTCGTTTGACACAGCCTTCACATAGAAATCCGCTCATTTCATCAAACACTGATGCGAACCCACTGGCGCTCGATGTAGCAAGTGACTTATGTCACGGCTGAAGCTTCTGGCCCATACAACAGCTACCTATACAAGCGACGTATGCTAAATCTAGCATGATAACAGATACAACTCTCCAGCAAATATGGCGGTTCCCAGTTGTTAAATGAGGTGGTGGCAGAATCAATAAAGAAAACAATGACATTTATGAGCTTAACCCCGAAGAAAGGCTGTCAGAACGTGTTACCTTGATGCATCACTGCCACGCACCCATATTGTTGCAATCCTTATTTTCAAGGTTGGCCTAAATCCTGTCTAACTATTTTTGCGCATACATCAACTAACATCAGTGCTTCTACTTCACCTTCAACTAAAAACCTAATTTTTCCTAATTGCAAGTTTCCTAGGCTTCAAGCAGTACAACAGACTTGACCAGTAGTTACTGGCGGTCACAGTTACATCAAACTTGCTTTGCGTCGATTTGGCATCTGTTCTGAATCCTTACAACCAGTGTTTTTTTTTCTACCCTGACGATTCACCTACCAAGCAGAGCTACGCCTGTCATAGAAACATTATACGTGCATTCGTAGCGAAAGTTGACGATAATGCACACAGATTCCCATATTTCTTCGGTTCCCATGCTACAGTCAGGCATTGTCTTTCCTGCCGAGATAGGCTATTTCCTTGCAGACCTTGCACTGCCCCCCCAAATCTCAATTGCCAATAATTTCGGGCTGTCGTGTTACCATAGAGGAGCTCAACGGAGCGCTGCAGATATTCATTTCGACAAGATGCGGATATCTTATAGCAACACCAGTAGTCATTTGCGGAGAAACCGCAAAACTGCTTGTGGGCGCTACTTCATCGTCTGTAACCCGCCTCGTTATCAGCTGAAACTAATGAAAACCTTTGTTCTTCGCCCGTGAGCTTTCCAACTCAACCTGTAAGCCCATTCGTCTTCATCCTCTTCTGAACTCATCGTATCGCTGCCCGAATAATTTGTATGGACCTCCACACCCTTCACTGAAGCCTGGCTTTGCTGGAACTGAAAGATAAATCCTGAGATATAGGAAGCGTTCTTTATCTACTTGCTAACATCACTACTGGCATTGTGTAGGACTGAACCATCATGGCCATGATATAATAAAAAGAAGCTGCAAGCATGTCTTATCGATTCCTATACATAGTAACTAGAAACAGAAACATAACCAAGACCTGACAGCAGCTAGGCGTGCTACAGACATTTTCTGTCCGACATGTAACCCTGATATGGCAAATCCAACAAGCAATGACGCTCATAAACAAAATCGCAGTGTTCAAAGCTCCTACTGTTTTTCAGCTATGCTCTATACAGTATGCATACTTGGTTTTAGCCTTTGCAAGGCGTAAGACATGTAAAATATGATATTATTTATTAGTAGTTGTACATAAAAATCAATCGACGGATGACGGCCATGAAGACTAAGCATTAAAAATCTACGAGTCCAGACATCTGGATGCATGTACATATCACATTAGGCATTAAGGGCCGCTTCAAATAACATTTGCTGGATAATTCACGAGGCTGCCCTGCGAAAAGGCTGGCACCTCATGATTCTCCTGCAGCAGTGATCGGAGCAGCGGGATTCATTGCCATATCGTAATGTACTTCATAGAGCTCAGTATGCGGTGCTATCAAGTGGAGCCGATGTTATGTTAGTGTACGCAGATCACAAGCGGGATGGTACACAGAGTGGATAGAAGCGTTCCATTGGGAGCAGCGGCAACAAAAGTGGAAGTACGGGTCGAGTTCGAATCTCGTAAGTAGCAGATGTCGATTTGGCAAGAATTACAGAGCGCGCTCATATGCTTGATGGCACATATCACCGGCCGTCCAGTCGAACCCGACGATCCCTCGACGCCTCTCCTCCACTAATAGTACTCCGCGTGGCGATGTCTGCGAAGTAGCTTTCAACCCAGACCTCCACCCATCGTCTTTGTATCGACGGGCTCATGCCATCGCTACTACCGCTGACACACCAACCCCGAAAGGAGATAGGATGACGTTTAGAGGATGTCTACGTCATGCGTTCAAACAGGCACAGAAACGACTGTAGTGTTCGTTCGAGAACTGTTTTCGATCTATATCGACCTCCGCTAGGCCTTCTGCTCTCTGTTCTCGCAACCGATAGTGGAAAGCCAGTGAAAGAATAAGCACGTACGTCCACAAGCTCCATTTGCTCATTTGCCAGCATCGTCTCACCTTGCCCTCCCCGTTTCACTGCCTCCGCTCTACTTCTACCTAAATAAACAAAAGGAAATCATTCAGTGCATGGCGCCGGAGCAAAGGCAAACCGCTGCACAGGGCCGTACGGGCGGATCGCAGGCTGCATGTACGCTGACGGATAGAGAAGTCGAAATGGAATCACGACAAGGCACCAGTTGTAACGGTAGAAGCTGTGGAGGTAGCTGTAACCTAACTGTGACGGAACGCCGATACGTGGTTTTTAGGGCAGGGAGATTTGATGAATCTTATGCTTATAGCGATGCTGACAGTGTGTTTGTAGTGGTAACATTTATTGCGAAGGTGTGCGATACGCAATGAAAGAGGGAGCCACAAGCAGTTTATAGCATCTTGATGACGGATAAAAGCTTTATTATGTCAGAAACTTATGTTAAAATTGCTTTTTTGCTTCTATGTAAATCGGGAAAACTGTATCGAATGAGTGGCTTTGCATAGACCGGAAACCGTCTCGTATTGACATGACAACCCGTAATACGCTTCTATATAGGGTTTACTTGACCTTTTCTTGTACCAATAGCGGCAGTGATAGCCCAACCGTGATGTAATGCAAAATATAGATGATGAGAAAAAGCTAGAGAAGTGGTTACCGCCATTTTGAAAAGTCCTCAAATCGTCCTTACATTTTTAACACGTCATTCGATTCTAATTGTCGGTTCCTTGCAGGATTTTGATGGAGTTCCCTTAGGAATAGACGGACTCGCTACGTAAAAAAGTGCCTCATTGAGAGAAGTGTGGCGAAACAAAATAAGGCCACCTCAATGTTATGCCTGACCTGTACTCATTAGCTAGCTAAGCTCCTATATATTCTTATCTTTGTCACTGCTTTTATGATGGCCAGCAGAACTGCCTAATCGGTAAGCTGGATGTACTTCATATGCAAATATCATTCTCACGCATTCGTACGATGTCACGACAAGCCAATGAAAGCAAAAAAACCTCGTCTGACCGCTACGACTTCCGCTGTAGTCGAACCCCCGAAATCAGAATCATCACCGTCATAAATACTAACGCGATTATTATACAACAGAATTGTGACCGCAAAACTATGGGAAGCAAACGACAATCTCGACCGATACGGCGCCTGCTTTTCGGCAGTGTTTAGAGAACAGTTAAACTAGTTGTTTTAGTTTTTACACCCATGAAAATATATATTGATTCCGCAATCTTTAATGGGGAACCTTAGTCAACGTGTCAACCCAATTTGGATGTGACCATCTAACCATTTTCATTTCAGGTGTTCACCACTATTCTACGCGAACGTTTTTACAATTATAATATTATAGTTTTCACCTAGCACAGGCGAAAGGAGAGGAATTGCGGGAAGTTTTTGCGGAGGTCTTGAGTCAAAGATGGTGCGCTCGAAACTGAGCCTGGACACTGATTCTCGGCGTCACTCGGTCGACTCGACCGAATAGCGTGGTATGAGACCGAACCAATGTTACTTCGTTGTTTAAGCAATGCCAGCAGCAAAACGCATCAGCGACAAGAGTGACAGTACATACATATACCCTGAGCGACGGTAGAGGCAAAAGGACCTAAAGAAGCAGGACAGTGCGTTGCAAATCTTTTTTCATAGCGAAGCAAAAGCGGTTACAGTCACTAGAAGGTGAAGAGAGTAGGCCCTCAGGGGAAGAACAGCGATGACGAAATTAACCCAGTCTACTTTTTCTTTTGCCTCCTGTTTTTCACGTGCACTTGAAGCCCGCAACAGCGTTAGAGGCAGCAGTCAAAGCAGCCGTTGCCTTTTGCAGATGGTAGCAGCGGCCTCTGTGATAGCGGTCTTCTGTGATAGCGCGTAGTTTTTATAGCCAGCTGTGGTGTTTTTGTGCAACAACAGATACCGGCCGTTCAGAGGGACAATTTCTGGACACAAAAAGAGAAGGAACGGCCTGCACTAACGGCCTGACACGACATATGAATGCGCCTGCGTCTCAGTGCTCTGAACAGAGCGACAGAAGTCAGGACAGCTGGTTCCCTTGCCTCTCATTGTATCGTAAGTAGGATTCTTCCCGGATCGAATTGTTTTCCCTTTCAATTGTTGTTGTTGTTGTTTTGCTAATAGCGATCTGACGTTATACAGCTGAAAGTTTGCCATTTTGGCTAAGTTCTCCTTTACTTCTATGAATATACGTATATATTTAGCTGTATTTTGGACAGTTTTTATACACACACAGGGACTCACGTTTACGTGCTACGGCATATGGTTCGCTTTGGATAATTGCCACTGAATTTATTCGTGATAGCAGGATAAGGGAAGACTCGTAAGCTACATAAGTTCAATGTCAATCACACCGTAGCAGAAGCTGGAAGCGAGTGCACGAACGTAGCTTTCGACAATGAGAGATGAGGTGTGAAGTAAGAAGGTGTTCGCAGAGGGAAATAATTGACAATTTACCACCGTTGCCAAAACGTAAATTTGCTCGTGTGCATTAGCTGTAATAATAACCGCATAAGGAACTGAGATTAGAGAAAGAACACGTTTTGTGCTTACTACAAAAGATGGCGTCGCATTTTATGTTGCCCAGTCGCGTAATAGACCGACAGCAAACGCCCCGGGAAGTGAGTTAGGTATCAATGAACACTTCGCAATTGCGTGGAATCTAGTTTACTCAGATTAGCTCCCAAATCGCGTACATCCGCAACAATCTTTACCTAACTCTTGAAAACTTGCATCTGGCATATTGGTTATAAACGACGGATTGTGTATTCGAGTAGGCAAAAAGTGTCTATATATGAAACTGGTAAAAGACAAATAAAAACTAGAAAAAAATGAAACACGAATGAATCATAACAAATGGGAAAATCAAAGGCAATCAATCAACCTGTAGCCTCCCAAACATATTCAGAAGCCAATTTTTGGATCGTGGATAGTTGTCATGTTATGGCAAACTACGGCGGATCAAGCATTTGTGATTTTTGAAGTGTCCTGAGTCTCTGCAGGCAGCAGAGACTGCCGAACATACCCATGCTACAACTAGAAATTAAGCCTTTGCGAAATACGCGTTTCTATCGAGGACACAGGCAAAGTGAAGCCGACTCTGCGTATGCGTTATGTCAACTGCACGAGTATGTACTCCGTGTTTGATAGTAAAAGTACAGGACACAACAACAACAACAACAACAGACATGCTACTTCAGTAAACACTGGCTCATAACGATGTTAAAGCGTCTCTTTTGAAACGTCGCTAATTTCGCGCAGGACAATCGGTCGCTAGTATCAGGTTTTTGGTGTAGACTATAAAATACAGGCATCTAACAGACTTAAATATATTTCAATTAATGTGGTTGCCGATACGCGTTTCGTGTCTACCTGGTTCTATCATGTTCTGCTTTCGCGTTCAAGCTTATAATTATCTATGGCAGTAAAGGTTATTATCAGTTTTCTCTCCTGCTACAGTCTTTCAAACTGTATGTAGCAATATTATAGCAAGTTTCATGGAAGGACGTCAAGTTGCTTTCGAACACCGACCCTCAACGATCTATGGACGACAGCTTCTTCTATGGGACGGAAGGCACGAATGTTTCTGACATAATTTAAAAAAGTAGTTCATTAATTATTATTGTTATACTTCGATAGATGTCATAATAGCATATATCGATACTGTAATAGGTAATAGTAAGTAGGAAAGCGGAGCCAGGCAAGACATAATCATTATAATACTTGTCAGCATTTGCTGAACGATTTCAAACAATTGAGATGATACAGGAGACACAATTTTTGAGTGGCTACGAAAAATAGTAGGAGCAATGGAAGATAGGCCGCTGCATCATGCAGCCTGGAGCAATTTATGTTTCTGTAAAAAATAGAGGCGTTGTTAAACCGCATAAGATATATTGAGATGCTGTACAAATTTTGGTATCGCGTTCAATGCGGGTCTCACTTGAAAGTGGTCGTGAGACCGGTGACGAATCGAGCGTCGTGAACCTGCAATCGTAAGTGACCTTATCAAGATTTCGTTCGGATCATAAATGAGAATTGGTAATTAAGGCCCTATTCTATTCTCCTCGATATGAATCAAAATATAATGGATACATAACGCAGCGTTCATTGATCTCACTGCTTCAGCTATTTATAATTACAACGACCTATGAATAGGTGGTCTAAAATTTTTGGGCTAACTTGACCTACCGCGCCGATTATTCGGCCCAGGTTAGGGATGTGACGTAATACTTAATTGCTTAGTTTCTTTGCCATCTTAGTGGTTTTACCAGTGTAAATATTACACTCACACGGGAATTTTTAATGATATTTTTAGATTTAAATTAAACACACTCAGCTTTTGTCGCAAGTATTAGTGCGGCGAACTTCCGCATGTTTACGAAGGAAACATATTGCCGTATGTTGCACTTCTCTGGCGATGCTCGTGAAGGAGACTAGTAAGTTTCAATGATTTCTTCTGCGCTATGGCAGCCTTTGCCCCCATCACCTATGCAAACCACCCACACCGTTTGCCTCTTTCCCTGCCTCAGTTGTTTAGCAGGTCTTTTGGTTCCACCGTTTTGGACGGCGTCGCCGTCAATCTCACCGCTGTCGACACTGCGGGTTCCGCCGCTATCAGTTAAGAGATTTGAAGCTGCAGAAATCCAAGCTCGTACAGTTGAGTGCCATGCCGCTATCGTAATTCGCGCAACGACATCTGAATTCTCACTCTTTTTAGGAAGTTGGTAGCGTGCTTTCTCTCTCTCTGTTTTGGGCCCCCTTTCTAGCTCTGCTCACGCCTGAGAGCTTTAGTGGCGCATACGTCGACCTTTTCCTTTGATCCTGGGGAGATGTAGTCACTAATGCAGGGCCCCAAGCTTTGATAGCAGTGAGACATAGATATGATTTTAAATTGATAGAGGCTGGCCTCCACAGTAAAGAGGCAAAGGAGGTGCAAGATGTGAGGCAGTCAGGTACGAACTCTTTGTATTTCGTTTGCGAATACGATATCAAAGCTGAAATATATATATTGCAATCTTGTACTAAGGAAGCACAAAAAAGCCGATGCGAAAGTATTGAATTTTCAAATAAAGCTAGATACGTATTTGATACACAAGTAGTATATAAAGCATATTGAACAAGTGCAATGATAAGAGTTGTCGTACATATATATATACTTGGAGTAAACGCTACCGAAGTAAGCAAATGATGTCAACGAATCAAGTAAGTAGTACAGGAGGCGCTGGGTGACTGCCAGTGCAATCGTCATTGCTTCTGCTGCCGCCGCCGCCCCCGCCGCCTTCCCTACAGTTAGAACGGATGCTCGGCTGGATAAAAACATGGAAGAGGATACTGTATCTAATTAGATTTTTATGATGCTAACAGTACATAGGAGAGACAGGCAGTAGATAAAGAGGTTCGACATAAAACCGAGAGGCAGAGTGACAGTAAAGGACGGTACGGCGATAGCAGGAAGCGACAACGTAGTCCGAATGCGTTCCTACTTGTTCATAAATTAGGCGCTTGTTCCGCAGTTGTTTTGCAGTATTTGCACTTACGCGTTACCGTCTGGTTATTTAAAAGTTCTAATGTTATAAAAGAGAGCCAAAGCGTCAAATGAAGTCCACCCTAGGGAAAACATACTGTTTTACACAAAAAAAAAACCAAGGTGCTGTTGACAAACAGCGAATGAGACATTTACGGTAGAAAGCTGCTTCTTGGACACAGTCTACAGAGTCGACTCCATTATTTTTCATAAAAACGCGGGGTCACAATATAACATAGGTAGTACTAGATAAATTACCTCTTTGATAAAGACAGCTAGGGTCTATAACGTGGCCTTTAATATTTGCCATAAATCGCGCGTGACGTATAAGACTGTTCAGTGATGACGCAGCTTGTCATGTGGTGATGATAAGGTCAAGCGGTACAATACATATATCCATTGTTTATATTCGCATTTTTTTCGGCATCTTATCGTCCTTGTAGGCTATGCCAATCTTAGCCTGTAAACGTTCCTACCTGTAAGGTAAATTCTGTAGGCTTTTGAAAGAGATCGCCTGCTTGGCCCAAATAGGTTGAGATAGTGAGAGACCGCGTGGCCGCTTTTTTTTTGGACTACTTCAAGCTGAATGGATCAGATGCTACCGAAAACTACTTTTAAACGCTTATGGAGAGGTATGTTATTGTTTGTGCATGTTAAGAAGCCCCAAAGCTTCTCGGGCTCGTACGGATCGCCAGAATTTAAGCTCTCAGTCATGCAAATTTAGAACTACAGTGTTCCCTTGACCTTGTTAAAAGCATTTGTTGTAACAATTTTCGTAATATACTTAGATCATTGTTTTCTTGCTATTATACGCCTAGACTCATTTACCGGATCTGGTCTCCAACTTGGGCGTCAAGGACGAGATGGGATGTTGTATTTGATGAAACAGAAAGCCCCGAAGAAATCGAACAGCTCAACTGCAAAGAAGAGAACAGAGTCAATTTCGAGTGGTTGACTATTAGAATAACAACAATAATGATACGGTTATGATCCATAATAATATTTTTAATTAGTCTATTTTTCGTGGATATTAACTTGCCAGGTCAGTGAGTTATTGTCTTCTCGACATAATTTATATCCAATCACGAAATGTATTATTAACAACGTCGTCATATTAGAAAAGGCTTGATCAGACCGTCTGACCTTTGGAAAGCAATTTTGCAAGGTTCACCTAGATGTGAAGATGGATGACCTCCAACGCGACCGAATAAGGGCTCGGAGAATCGGCACATACTTCTATCATTTTTCTAAATCTTGATGGCAAATCCTTTCGTTTTACATATGCTTGTATTAAAAAGCAACAATCAATATCTGTTTATTAATTTTGCTTGCAGAATTACTTTAGATTGTCAGTGGATTACAGGGAAACGTGTTTCGACGGAACTTTACCCACCGCGGCTCAATTCGACGGAAGCGTATAATTACAATGCTATTGGGTTTTGTATTGCACTCCCATACGCCAACAGGGCTCAGTGATTGGATATATAAAACAAAGCTAAGCCGTTTTAGCCAAGGCAATGTACTCGCTTGGTTAAATAATACCAACTCTAACGAAAGCTAATTTCTCCAGCAACATCCTCGACTGTCTGATGCCGAAAAGAAACTCGACCCAGCCTGGCAATTTCGTTAACAATCATAGTGAATCAATTCAACCCAACATTTTGAAAGTTATAGCTGTCTGGGGTCAACGAGTTGAGGTATATACATGCGTCGCGGATGTCTAACCGAAATCTCCATCTCTATTTTGGTCTGCTTAGCCCATTAAAAATTACCCCTAACAGGAATCGAGTGCCACACTTTACGAACTCTTAAAAATATTGTCTTACAAAAGATAACGAAGGAGAGAAGGCCCGAATCTCACAGATTGAGCGTAGATGAGGAAAACCTCGGTAATTTTATTGTTATATTTTGACACCTATAAATGCACAATATGAACATAAATATATAAAGGTAAACGTAAATTTCTACCTGTAAATGTGAAGCACGTTATTGATAGGTTCGCGCGTGTAGTTTTGTCTGCAAGTGTCTAGCAATTCGTCTTGAGAGATGCACGTCGTTGGGTTTTTGGTATATTTCAAGGCCACTTTGGTACGATCAGGCTATCAGGCCAGCAAAAGAATGCTTTATTGGCAGAATAGTTTTTTATGAAAATGTACTTATGCATAGATCTAACGTAAAGCAGTACACATATTTTGGCTGAGAGTATATTAAAAAAAATGTATCCATTATAATATCCTAATGAGACCATTTCTGTAGGCGTAGATTTAGGCATATGCAACTGCCTAGACACAGGCAGGCCGTACTTCTACAAAATTACTTAATACGCTGTTACGCTTTAGACTAATCTATTGATAAGCCGTTAATCAACACTATTCAACGGCAGGTTCTAGCGCAGTCTAAATTCACTACGGGTAGAACAAAGATAATCCAAAGTAATCCAAATTTCCTGACAACTATATATATATATTAGTTGTCGCTCAATCAAAAATGCGACCTGTCGCTAGAATCAAAGCAGCAAACGCTTATGGGGAAAAAAACAAGACAACAACACGTGACCAATAACAGCAATGTGTACTGATTATGTAAGCCTAGTAGGCCAAGCATCAGTCAATTAGCAAACAGACCTGTGGCCAGCTGCCAAAAGGGAGGTTAAAAAGTTGTTGAATAGTTCAATCAGTCCCGCCAAGGCTAAAAGGGTCGGCTTGTCACCAAACCGCTACTCAGCCATCTAGTCATAGCTGACCGGCTAATGATAATCGGGACGGTTCCCGTGATCCTGTCGTGATATTTCGGACGTTGCTATACCGTTAAAAAGATCCAAAAAACGCGGTAAAGCCGACGTACCGTACGCAGCCACCTTCTGGAAAATTGGCTCCATTTGGCGCAGCATGACTAGCCTCAAACGTGACAAGCCGGCTATCTGTCTGACCGGATGTCCTTTGACCGGTGAAGCTGTTTCTGGTCTTCCTTTCTGTCAACTAAACCAGGATATCAAACGGAGATGTTAGTCAGAGTGTTTCTCGTCTGACAGACAACTGAGGTATATATTAAGATACAGTTTAATCAGAAGCATTCGTTGTCTTGCCCGTCATCGCCCATTCTAGTCAAATATAAATTTGATTCTTTGTCCAACATCCCCACAGTTGCTTTCGCTGTTACGACGTTTTACGTCAGTTGTCTGTACATTACAGGATACATACTCATTGGTATAATATAACTAATCATAGGTCACTGACAGATCAAGTGCAAGATGTGTCATTCAACTTATCATATCCTTTCAGGTCACCGTTGTCATACGGAGGAAAGTGACAGTAGAGTATGTTATGAAGAGGTATTTCAACAGACCAGAGTTCGTTAGGTGAAGCTGGTGTTGGAAGGGGAGAGGTTTATTGGCTATAACGATTGCCGACAAAGAAGGCTGCTTGGTGGGATAGAGAATACCACTGCAGCTTCACCTCTCGTTTGTCTGTATTCCGCCGACGGCGTCGCCACTGCCATTCACCACCTCAACATTTGTTATATCTGCAGATGGCTGAGATTGGTTGGCTCAGAGAGAGTTGACTGTTAGTTCCGCTTCACTACAATACAAAAGTGGGAAAGCTGGCTTACCGATCTACCACGCTGCCACGCAAGAGACGCTGGAACAGCCGAGACAGTCTCTAGCGGTCGCTAATGGAGGTCCTGCAAGCCAAATAGGAAAGCAAGCAAACGCAGCTCGCTTCGTTTAGTCTGTACCGAATATTCGCTGCTAACGTGCGAGGGTGGTGGACGACCAAGAAGGATGAGAAGGTGCCTCAGAGGCCTGGGACCTCTTAGTTGTAGAAAAAAGGTCTAGGGCCGACTGAGGGACTGGCCCAAGTATGGGAGGCAGATTTCCCCTCCGGCAATGAGGATCGCCTGTGACAGCAGAGCGATACCAGCCAGCAAAACGGGGGACAGCCGCGATGGCGACGGCGACAACGACAGCGGCGTTAATTACAGCGCTCCGCCGTACTGGCAGCAGTGGCTGGGTGGCGTAGTAGCTTAGAAATAGCTAACGTTAATGTTGGCTTTTCTCCTGCTTGCCCTCTTGATCTCCCCGGCCGCTTGTCTGTCTATGCTTCTGCTGCGCCCGACTTGGGTAAAGGAACGACCGACGCTCGATGGTCGAGGTTAGAAAAAAGCCTTAGACGACACTTTCGCCTGTCGGACCATCCGGTCCCTAGAGTAAAAGTCACTTCCCGCGAAGCCATACTGGCCTATGGCCTTTTCAAGGCCTCAGACTTTCTGTTCATACACGCACATATAAGGGAAGCTCAAAGTCGAGCCGCCTGCGGAGGCTACATGATACCTGCATGTAGTGACAGTGTTTGCTGTTCCTCCTGCCTCTTTTTGTTGTTCTGGCCCTCTGACCTGATTTGAACTAAGCAGTCGAACCTAGTGATGCGTCTTAGGGACTTAACATCATTGCCGCAGGTAAGCAGTAGTGAAGGAAAGGGTGCAAAAATTGCTCAACATACTTTCTCGTTATTTTATATTGAGCGTAGCCTTATGCATAGCTTCATTTACGTGCTTGGATTATGTAGGAAGCACCTAAGCATCCTCGAGAATACTTCAATTTGACAGAGTTTAAAGGCTGAAGAATAGAATGTATGATAGTGACGCCTACAGAAACCTTAGATTATACAGTTTTACAGCGAACTTTTGCTTTCTTTGAGAGAGAGTGAGCACCCCTTAAGCTGGAGCTTGGTCAACAGAGACAGGAAGCGGGATCCTTGTTAAACGTAACCCTAGTCTTTATAGTGCAGTAAAGTATCCCCAAAATATCTGCGTAGGTAGCTCAGATCCGAACTATAGCTACGCCGCACGTCGTATGAGTGACGTTTACAATAGACAAAAGGGTAAGGTGAAGGTTCAAATCTGAATGGACTATTTTCTCCGACAGCTTCTTATGCAAATAGCAACGAGTACTAATGTGTGGTTGCTTACCAGTTCTTATGGGAATCCGGAAAAAAAGACTAGAAGAAAAGCAGAGAGTAGTCCAAAAGGAATACCACCATCATGCAAAGCTGTAAAAGGGCCTCTGTGTAACACTGGATCACAACGTTGGCATGTTTATGTACCCGTACGTGGCCAGTGAACTGACAAAAGAGGCATGAGCTTAGAGGGGAGTCCAGCGGTTTCGCCTGTGCATCCAAATACATACTCGAAGGAAAACTCAAGATCTATCCGCAGGCGCGTGTCAGCATTCTGTGGGTCGGTGTACGATGCTTGTTAAACAAAAAAAGGTAAGTGAACGCAAGCTGAACCAATTAGCAATTCAGCTGATTATAATGAACCATTACGGGGCGTCATTGCTGCTTAGATCGGCAGGGGTCTTTGATCCTCCTATCGCCTCTTGCCGAAACTTACAGCGCTTTAGGATGATCTTTCCGCTGTGTCCCCTAGGTTGTTGCGGCTAGCGTGACAGTTCTGCAGACCACTTCAATTCTTCACAGACAGACGGGTTAACCGGCCACTCACCCATTGGCCTGCCAGGCGCCACGGTACGCTTGTTGCTACTACTTCTGTCGCTGGATGCTTGCCTCTTACGGCTATAAAACAACTATTACACCAGCCTAGCGCTGGCACAGGGTTGACCCTAAGGCTAGTCGAGTCCTGTACTTTTCCTAAGCTGATTTCTGCTACTCCGCATTACAACGACGTCAAATAGCTAGCGACCATAGCGTAGCACCACTGCTTCCCTGATTCTGTTACTACACCATTGGAAGTACGGTGTCAGTCGCATGCTTATCTCTGACGGGTCTTTCCTCGACCCTAATCCGAAACTATCCATTCATCCAAGGAATTCGCATCATAGTCGTGGCAGTGTTGGTGAAGGGTTACTTACCACTAGCGATGCGCAGGCGTCTACGATAGTTCTGCTGAACCGATGGTA